CCAAGCGTCTGACTGGAATGGCTACATCCGGCCACTTAGTCTCTTCTATCGCCATCTGTCGGACGTCGTATATTCGGAATTTCTGTTCAGATATAGATAGTGGCCATTGGCCCCATGCATATGCAATGATCCAGTGCTTGTTAGGAGCCACTCCGTATCACAATAACCTGTATTCCTCTAGAATATCTGCATCCAATCCTTCCGCTGCCCTGACACCAATTAACCTTAAGGTCTCTCTCGCGGCAACCTATTTATTTTCGCTTATTATGCTCTCCCTCTCGGATTACGCTAACTACGTGCTGTTCATGCACCTGACAATCACTACCATTATTCTAACTCTCCTTGCTCTATCCCTACGCAATTATTGACTCCTACTAAACGGATACTTCGTACTTTACTTACTTGCACAACGATCTTGTCTCTAGGCAGGCGTTAGCAATCCACCTATACGGCTAATGATTCCGGAGGATATTCATAAGAGATTTTCAGCATAATTATTGTTGCACAGTGTACATGCTTTTGTCTCAAGCACAAGCGTTGTAACTTAAGAAATTAACTATGTTCAACTCCATGCCTGTTCTTGCGGTCTTCTCTCGGCTGTCCCTCACTTTCCCTTTTCTCTGAGGTCCGGGAATTCTTGGAGATCTGGGATTAGACTGAGGAACAGTTTTGGCCCAAGACGGACGCAACAACCCACATGGACTTACCTGGAGCATGGTAGAACTCCGAAAGGACCGAACTGCAATCACCATAACCCTTGTCCAGTATGGAGAAATGGACATATCCTCATACTCCCCAAAATTATACATCTGTAAAACCTGGACAGCGGAGAAGTTGAACTTTTGCTCACCTGGACATACAATAAGATGAATAATCACGAGGTCCCTCTCCTCCGCCGATCTCAAAAATAATGGCGACCCCGATCAAATTACCTGTCCAACTAGCAGAGGAAATTGGAAGCCAGTAATCTGCGAAAATCCGAAGGTAAAACCAGTCGTCAAGCGGCTTTGCCAGTTCAACATTAATGTTCAAAATACTTTACGGCAGTGTTGCAGGACGTGGTGGGTTTTCGCCTGGCAAGCGTTCTCCCTATAAAAAGCCACAAATGTCTGTTTAACAACACTGTGACGTGGCGGATGTGACTCGCCACCGAATAAAGTCACAGCCCACAACTACAAACTGGCAAGTCGACTAGACTAACATATCAACTCTTCCCGACTCTGTTTCAACTACACACGCTTGAACCCAATGTATCGTCGTGATACACGTCGGTTTTTAAACCTTGATCATGCCTGCGTTGGTGTGTCTCTATGAAACTGAGAATAAATTATTTATTTATTTATT